GCGTAGGCTGCAGCCCCTGTGGCAGTGGGTTGCCATGGGCTACCGTGTGTAGCCAGCAGCCAGCGTGAGCAGCCAGCAGCTGCAGTGAGCGGCCGTCCAGAAGCCGGCGACTGATCTGCCTTGCCCGGAAGAGCGCAATGATGGTGCCAACTTGGGCCAGTGAAGCAACATCCTCCACAACTAGACTGAAGAGCAAAACGACAGCAACTTGTCTGTTCCCCTTACCCCAGTTCCCCAGCATTGTTCCCATCCCCCCATTCCCCAATAAAAAATCTTTAAAAAAAAAATGTTTCTGCTGTTAATGATGAAGGGTAGCAGACCATGCCACCCCAAAACATGCCACTTTGGCATGAGGATTATTCTGCGCTAAAAGTCACTTTAAAAACTTCATTGGGTACAAGAAAGATGCTCTGGTCCACCCCCCCTTTCCTTCCTAAGAGCAGAAAGTAAAACCATCATATGGAAGATGTCTCCCTATACCAAGAGGAAAGTACCATTCTTATCAAGGTTGGGAAGCTGAGGCCAGGAGAATTCTGTACAAATGCATCTTGTTAAAATATTTCTCATCTTCCTTTAGCTTCCCCATATATTTAACTTTCCTACAATTGTCTCTCTTTGTTCAATCTAGTATAAAAGCATTTAGGTTTTGCCACTTCTTTTGGTCTTCATTTCATTATGAGGGCTCCCATGTCATGTAAAACTTATATTAAATAAATTTGCATGCTTTTCTCCTGCTGATATGTTTTTTTTTTAAAGATTTTATTCGGGAATTGGGGGAGGGGAACAGGGTTGGGGGATCGGGGAAAGGGAACAGACAAGTTGCTGTCCTTTTATTCTTCAGTCTAGTTGTGGAGGACATCGCTTCACTGGCCCATGTTGGTATTATCATTGTGCTCTTCCTGGGTGAGGCAAATAGGTCGCCAGCCACTGGCCAGCCGCTCACGTCGGCTGCCAGCCACTCATGGTAGCTTATGTCAACCCACTGCAGCTTCAATGCAGCCTATGCCGTAGCCAGCGACTCATGGCAGCCCAGCTCCTGGTCAAGCTGTTGTTCACCATCTTAGCTGTAAATAGCGCAGCGTCATTGGCCCTCTTGTGGGATCCGAACCAGGCCCTGCTGCTCAGAGCTGGATTCCTAAGCCAACACTTAACCAACGCGCCACTAGGCCAGCCCTCTCCTGCTGATAAGCTTTATGTAAATCTAATTCTCAGACCCAGTTGAAAACCTTAAATGGATAGTGGTAAAATTTTGTCTCCCTTATAGTGATTACACAGTGACCCTCTCAAAGCTGGAAATGTAAGGAAGATAGCATTCCTTTTCCTTGAGTAAGAGCATAAAGTGTCCTGGAGCAGAAAAAAAGGCAAGGACATTGGTATGAGATGTGGTGACATGACCCTCTGGTGGCTTCTCACCTTTGAGAATGGGGTCTGTGTGGTGGGATGGTTCTGGGGGCAGTTCTTTGAAAGCTACAGCTTTACCTTCTACAGGAGTAATTGTGCACAGTAGGTGATGTCATAGAGTCTTTCATTTATATAAAATTAGAGACATTGGAGGCTACACTTCCATTCAAAAAGCTGACTTTTTAAGGCATTCGCTGGTTCTGCAGATACTGAGAAATAAAATAGTACGAACATAAACGCTTGGAAATATGAATTAACAGTAGAGCGACAAGTATGATGCAAGGACTAATAGTGCCCACAGGGTATTTCAATTTATAAAACTTCAGGGCAGGGTATTCAGAGTTCCTGAACACATCCAGGCGTGCAATGCAAAATGATGGAGGAATGAATCTGTGTTCAATTCAGAGAGTCAGCAGTACAAGGGTCACAGCTTTTCACTGAATACTTGACATTTCAGGTTATTTGTGATTGGTCACATTTTTAGATGAATCAATTCATTTGTCCTATTTGTATGTATTTGGAACCCAGGAATGACAATGGGCATGGCCTATTTGGGCTGGTGGAAGCACACACCAAGTGAGATTTTCCAGAATAATGCACTAAACTATAGCCCACCCTCACATCATCTCATTTAATGCTCACATCACCCCTTTGATGTAGCTATCATTATCTATGGAGGAGAAAACAGAGGCTCAAAGAGGTTAAGGAACTTGCTCTAGGTCACTTAGCAAATAAGTTGTGCAGCCAGGATTTCAATCCAGGGAGGGCCCTAATAACCAGTTTGGGCTTTATTGTACAGACAACAATATTGGAATATTGTAATTCTGTAAATGTGTAGTCTTTGGTTCTCGGACTGGGGAATGACTTGATGGAAAAGAACAGAAAGAAGAGCTGTTTGGTGTCATAATACAGGCTTCACAGAGGGGGGAAGGTCCAGAGTGTAGAAGGATCTGATAGGAGGTTGAGGCAGCAATGCAGGCCTTGGAGATGCAGAGACTAGAGTTCGGAACTAGAAAACCTGGTTCTAACCTTGCCTTTACCATAATGCTGCTGCTGGCTGAGGAACCTCAGGCAAGTTGCAGGCACATCTCTGAAGCCTCCTTTCTCATCCCTAAATAACGGGTTAAAAAATTGAGAGAAAAATCTCTTAGTTGTTTCAATCTCTAAAATTCTGCCTGATGCCTTTACATTTTAATGCATTCTAAAGATTTATATATGAAGACCCTAAATATCATCCAGAATCCAGAAAAGAATTTAGATGTAATAATTCGTAACACAGTCTTGTTTTCCAAGTACCAAGGAGTAGAATTGTTTTTAAGAATGCTTTCTAAACCAGACAAGCCAATTGTTTCTGCATCTTGCTGTTTTCTTTGTTTAAGAAAATGATTTGGGTGTTGCTGCTGTAGCAGTGGTTGATGTTATTAAAACCAAATAGGAGTATTACTCTTGAAACAAATGAAATGATTTAAATTCATCTCTAAGAAATTTTATGAAAATATACCTAGGAGGCAGAAATTGTGTTGATATCAAATTAATTTGTTTTCTGAGCTCAAATTTAATTTAAAATGTGATATTTCTTTAACTGGTTCAATCAACAGACTTTAAAGGGATTTTAGATGGAGAACACAGGGAATAAATACAGTAATGTTGGAGCAAATAATCAACAAAATAGTTGTTCTGTGGCTTGTGATGCCTCCAGAAAGTATTTTTAACAACTCCCTGAGGAATTGACTTTTGGTGTGAAGCCAGGCTCTTCTCTCGACTCACATCTGCAAGCTTCTTCATCCTCATATCCTATAACCTCTCCATTTCCAAGCTCTGCTAAGCCCTTGGTCTCAGTGTATCTCAGAATTGAACCTTTATCATCTACAAAGACTTGGGGGGTAGGGTTCCCATTCCTGGGTTGCAGACACAGCTTTCTTCTTAGAATAACCTAAAGGGCAAAGGGGTCTTCCTGAAAGAAAGCTTTCATCAAACCATTTGTAGTATTAAAACCTTCAGGGACCCCATTGCTTAAAGGATGAAATCTAAAGTCTGCAATTGAGATCCCTGTCCTTTCGGCCAAGCAAATAGATTAACTTGCTTTAGGCTTTAATCCTCCACATCTGAGCGTTTTCTCCTTGGAATGCTCTGCTCTTTCTCGGTGCCAGCTCATGACCATCATCACCTCCTTCAATTCTGTCTTGAAACCTACTTCCTTCGGGATGTTTTCCGGATTTAGTAGCTACTTAGCAAAGAAACAACTCCTTGCTTTTGAGCTTTTATTTTAATCACAGTAAGTGCTTTTAAGATAAATTATCCAAGTCTAGAAGTAAACAACTTATAGAGTGATTTTACTTTGTGAGAGAGAGCACTCCAATTTTTAGGTCTCTGCTTTTTCGCTAGGCATCCATACTGTACAGAACTAGAGCAAAATGACTCTTTATGGTGACCTCTAGTGGGCATGGGACAATCCTGCAAAATTATGAAAAGTGAGGAACAAAGTAAAACCTTTCTCAGTAACCACTTGGGTTACTCTCAGGCTAGATGACCGCATCCCACCCTGCTCCACCCTCAATTTTTCGTCCAGTATTTGTTTTGCATTTAACATCATTTGCTTTACGACTCACCTGTTTCGCCTCTGGCGGGCACTGCTTGGGCTGGGCTGCCGGTGTCGGGTATCGAGTGAATTGATGGTAGGTAGCAGTTTAAAATAATTCCTGCCAAGTGGAACCCACTGCCAGGGCATTGAACCGAGCAGAGCGCAGGGCAGTTCGCTCTGCGGAGTCTTAAGGGGCTCTTAAAGGTCTGGTGGCCGGTGCTGCTGCCGGCTTGGGAGTGGACGGGGGGAAATCAAGACTTTATGAAAAGGAGGATGCAGATGTAGGCAACGAGCAGTTCTGTACGTGCCAGTGGCAAGGCTATTCTCCTCAGACTTTCGCCCCACTCTACGGGAAGCATCAAGATGGGGTCTAGGCGCTCTACACGGAGGCGCCCTCTCAGGACCGGTGCCCTAGAAAGCGGGGCTGGGGCTGCTCCTTTCCGCGGGAGTGTGGCACCGGGGCTGGGTGCTGGGTGCCGGGGTGTGTGGCCGCCTTCGGAGCACGCGGTACGTGATCTCCGAGCCGGGAGAGGAAGAGCAAAGTCGGCAAGAAAAGCAGTTGCTGGGGTGCCTCCTCTGAGAAATCCTCTGGGCTGTCTCAGAAACCGAGCTGGGTTCTGGATAGTTTCTGCAAAAAGCTCTCTAAACGCTCTGTCCGCGCCCCTCAAATCCCGCACTCCAGTCCTCACCCCTCCTTACCATCCCGTTGCCTCCCTTTGGGGGCTTTTAAAAGGGCCCTTAGGGGCTGTCCAAGTCGTCTCCATGGCCCGGGCGGGACGCGGGAGCAGACACCCCGGCCCCGGGGCTTGGCTCCCACCTCTAGCCGGGGGGGCTCCCCCTCCTCGCCTCCCCGCCCCTTGGACCCCTCCCAGCCACTGCAGGCGGGAGTGGAGGGGGAGAGCGGAAGGGGAGGACGGAGTCACGAGGCGGGGAGCCCGAGGTCCAGGGCGAGGCGCCGGGGAATCCCAGCCCGAGCAAGCCCGGGAGGTGCGGGCGCGGGTGGGGAGAAGAGGGCGGCGCGCGGAGGGAGGTGAGGCGCGCGGAGCCGGGAGCCGGGGAGGCCCCGCCCCTGCCTCTCCTAGTCCGCTCCTGGTCGCCTCCAAACCCGCTCACTTTGCCTGTCGCCTCTGGACGGCGGCGGGGCGGTTGCCAGAGCTGCGGCTGGAGGGAGCGCCGGGGACTGGGAGTCATCCCGCACCGGCCTCCCCTCTCGGCGCCCGCGCCCCTCAGGGGGGTCAGCGCCCCGGCCTTGAAAAGGGCACCCAGGCCTCGTTGGGGGCATCCCCCGGGCGCCAGGGGCAGCGGCGCCGATAGCCTCCTTCTTGGCCAGCGGGGCGCGGGGCGCAGAGCTGGCGCCGGAGGGGACTCCCCGGCCACCCACAGGTACCGCGGCGCAGAGGAAGCGTCTCTAGGAGCGACGCTGGGCTGCCGAGGAAGCCAGAACTGAGGGACCCCCCGCGCCGGCGAAGGGGAGGAGCGGAGCCCGGGGGCAGAGCCGGCCAGACAGCCCGCGGGCCCCGACGGCGCGCTCCCGGGTCGGCCAACGTCAGGCGGACCCCGCGCGGCGGCCGGGGGGACGGCGGCGGCGCCCTCGACCTACGGGGGCCTCGGGGCGGCCAGCCATGACCTTCGGGCGCAGTGGGGCGGCCTCGGTGGTGCTGAACGTGGGCGGCGCCCGGTACTCGCTGTCCCGGGAGCTGCTGAAGGACTTCCCGCTGCGCCGCGTGAGCCGCCTGCACGGCTGCCGCTCGGAGCGCGACGTGCTCGAGGTGTGCGACGACTACGACCAAGAGCGCAACGAGTACTTCTTCGATCGGCACTCGGAGGCCTTCGGGTTCATCCTGCTCTATGTGCGCGGCCACGGCAAGCTGCGCTTCGCGCCGCGGATGTGCGAGCTCTCCTTCTACAACGAGATGATCTACTGGGGCCTGGAGGGCGCCCACCTCGAGTACTGCTGCCAGCGGCGCCTCGACGACCGAATGTCCGACACCTACACCTTCTACTCGGCGGACGAGGCGGGCGCGCAGGGCCGCGACGAGGCGCCCCCCGGCGGCGCCGAGGCGGCCCCTTCCAGGCGCTGGCTGGAGCGCATGCGGCGGACATTCGAGGAGCCCACGTCCTCCCTGGCCGCGCAGATCCTGGCTAGCGTGTCGGTGGTGTTCGTGATCGTGTCCATGGTGGTACTGTGCGCTAGCACACTGCCCGACTGGCGCGCCGCGGCCGCCGACAACCGCAGCCTGGATGACCGGAGCAGGTACTCTGCCGGCCCTGGGAGGGAGCCCTCCGGGTAGGACGCACTGCTTCTTTGCCCGTCGCGTCAGTCCTGTCGCGTCTGTCCGTACCGTCCGTCGGTCCCGTCTCTTGTCCAGGATGCCTCTGGGTGGCCCAGCCATTCTGGGTCCCGAACCCACCCTGGGTTCCGAGGCCCCAGGAGCGGCCAGCTAAGGGGACGGGTTGGCCCTTGCTCCGCATCCCTCTTTCCCGGGCACACACCTGCTCTGGTCTCTACAGTAGACGCCCTTCTCGTGGGCGAATCGCCGAGCAGAGGGAGGGGGCAGAGATAGACAAGCCTCCCTCCCATCTTTGTAGATTACTTTTGAGCAATTAGCAACTGGTTCATTAGGTTTCTTTAAACTTTTTATTGTTAGTGTTCAACAATTTAAATTTGAGCTAAGGGCTCAGTTATTTGAATTATTTGCCACTTTTTGGTGGTGTTTGAAAAGATGAAGTCTTGTTATCATGAATGTGGTCTGCTATACACTGCTATGCAATCTATACACTCTGCATAACAGGTACTTTAATGGAATTGTTATATTGTAAAGAAGATGAACTTAACGATAGACTCTAAATAATGAGTGTCTGTGCCCTTTTCTCTCTTCTTTCCTACGAAGTATGGAGTTAACAAAACAACTGTCCACCATTTGGCCCCAAAGTGTCACAGTGTGACATTCAAAGGGATCTTCCGTATGTGGAGGGAAAAAAACTGTTACTTTGGGAGAGGAGAAAAATCTAAACTGCCCTAAATTCCAGAAACAGCGTTTGAGTCATTAGTATTTTTTTCACTTTACTAGGCTGAATGGAAAATATTTAAATATTTCCTTAGATCATTCTTACCTTTCAGTAGTGATAACATACTTCTGTTTTTAGTACAAGTGAGTTTATTTTGCATATTTGGTGGGAGGAATAAGCAGCGTAAAGTTGGACTTTCGAGGGAGACAGCCTGTTTGGGCACAAACACAAAATTGCATATTTTGTTTTACTTTTGGTGCTATTTTAAGATCCACCTTCATTCATGTTTTTAAAAATTAGGTTGTGCCTGGTAATCTTTTCCTGATAGGCACGTGCAAGTTTCTAATGGTGCTATGTGCCTTGAGATTGCAGTGGATTACTTCCACATAATAGTCTTCCTTTGGAGAGTAGAGATTTTTAAATAAATCTAAGTAAATGAAATTGTCTAGTACCACAGAGTCCATTACTGATATGCCATCTTGGCATGAAATCCAAGATACATGCTTTGAAAGGAAATTCATTAGGAAACTCATTTTGTTTAGTGTATTAGGTTCTAACTGAGTTTTCAATTTACAGATAAGAATTACTTATTTGGTACTCCAACAGTACAATGAAATTAATTTATATACCTAAATATACAAGTGCCCTTGATTCTTTTAGAGAGGCATAGGAAAGTGAGCCAGGAATGATTGGCCTTGAAGTGACTCACTAGTAATTGTAAAACGCTAAGATTAGTGTAGGTTCAAAATACTCGTGCATTAGCAAAAGAAACAGGAGAATTGAAGCACTGATACAAATACTGAGGGGAGTTGGCTAAATCAAGATATAAGCAAAAATAATTTGAATAATAATTTATGGGGATAGAGGGAATTTTGGGAGAAGGGGAAGGCAGTCTGGAGATCATTAGTATAAGACATTTGGAAAGAAATGGGAGACATGAATAATAATTTTAGGGGGAGAGAGAAATAAACCAAAAAGGGAAGAGACAGATGGAAAGGAGGAAAACTGCAAAAGAAGTGAAGGAAGAAGGTAAGAGTAATGCTTCATTTGTGTACATGTATTTTATGTAAGTATATAGTTATTCAAGTCAGAACTGTTTCCTAGATACGCAGATATTTCAGGCAAAAGCATCTTTTTTTTTTTTGGCTTAATGGCCCAGTTTTAAGCTTTACTCTGAGGGTAGGTACATGAAAGGCAGCATCTGCAATCCCAAACAGATAAACTGAAGGCTGACAATGATAGAGGAGGCCGTCCATTACCGAGGGAGCGTCCCGCAGGCCTCCTCCAACCAAGAGGGCCCCTAAGTTGGCATTTGGAGTATAAACTCTCAGCCTCTGCTTGCTTATAGTTGCTGAAATTAGTCTTTCTAAAACATCATTCTGAACATTTGACCATATTTAGCAACTACCAAATAAAATCAAAACTTCTTTCTTGGCTTTCAAGGTTCTTTCTGCCACGATCTGCCTTTCTTGATTTAGTCCGTTGTAATTTGCAAACATCTTTTAAATATCTTCTGTGTTCAAGGCACTGTTGGTGTTCCAAATATTGTAACTTTTATTTGTAAGGAAAAGGAGTCAAGTTGGTGATGTAGGAATCAGACACAATTGATCGACAATTGAGTTGAGTTGTTCTGGGAAGAAGGCCTTCAGGGTGGAGGATGGAAACGAGCCATCTATGGAAGCTTGCAGGGGTTGTACACTGCTCAACACAAGCAGGGAGCATCATTTGATGAAATACAGTGTTTGCAACCTCTGCAACCATGTGTGCCCCACCTGGGAACAAAATAAGGGGAATTTTCCAGGTAAATGAAACAGCATACGCACAGGCTTGAAATTTGTATATTATTGATATGTTTAAAGGGATGTGAGTCCAGTGACAGAGTGAGAGGTGGACAGAGAGCAGATATTAGAACACCTGGAATGAGTGGGAGAATCATTTTATTTTGCAAGGAGTGGTTAGCTGTTGGTGGGTTTGGGATGAGTGGGTTATGCATATAAAGTTGTGCTGTGAGTTGCATATAGTGAATTGGAGATAGGGGGATTGGAAACAAGAGGATGAATGTGAAGATCTTTCCAGTGGGAAGAAATGAGAATTTGGATTGCTTTGAGGTGGTGAGCATGGAGAAGACATGACAACTTGGGGAAACGTTAGGAAGAATCAAAATTAATCCAGGGCATTGGGATGATACAGACTCAGGGGCTGATTAAGCAGACTTCCAGGAGCTAGGAGCCCTTCTACCACCTGTCCAGGCTCCATTTGTCCAGGCTGGCCTGCTGACTCATTCCCATACTACCTGAATGTACCTTACTGTGCCTTCCCTTGCCTATGGAAACCGGATCATCCCTCAAGCCCGACTCAGATTCTGTTTCTCTTTTGAAGCCTTTCCTGATTACCCTAGTAAATGAGATTTTCCTCCTGAATTTCTTGAGGGATTGCTTACGTATGCTACTTATTTGGCGTCTATAATATCCTTCCTAGCATGGTAGTTATTTTTTCATACAAACATGCCCTAACTTCTAAATTAGATGAGTTGAAAAGCCCTAGAAGGCAGCTAAATTCTTACACTATTTATTATGATAGCTTTTAGAAAAAAATTATTATTCTGGCACAATAAATATCTACTGTTTATATTGCATTTCAAAACATAAGCTTCCAGGAATATATCTTCTCTTGCAGAGGTTGAAGAGCTGTGCGGGCTAAGGCGGTGGACGTCAGGCGAGGGAGCTCTTAGTTGAGGAGGGTGGGATCCTGTGCTAGAATAAGAAAAAAGTCCATTAAATCAAGGAACAATTATTTATCAACTAGTTATTGTGTAAAAGGAATAAAGATAAGAATATAATTTTTTTATTAACCCCT